ACTCTTGAATAAATTATATGTAAAGACGTAAAGTGTAAAATCCTGCGTACATTCTTTCAATGTTACAAAGCAGACAGAAACATGAAATAGACAGTTTAACAGACTACAAATCATGAACAACAAATTTTATTATTTGAAAACACATTACCTAAAATATGAATTATCACTTAATGGCATTTATTACTATGTGAATGTATATGAACTAATGATCTGTTAATCATTATATAATGTTTGTTAATGACTCATTAATGAAAGTTATTATAAAGTGTTGCTGATATTTTTAACTGCCAAAATTCTTTAGTTGTGTGGTTCAATGTTAATATTACTTATCATTTGACATGAAATTATACATTTTTCTACAAAAATAACAGTTTTTAGTATGTATTCTTAGAAAAGGATACAAAAGTATAGTTTTATTAAGTTTATAGACTGCGTATAGTTAGAACAAGCACAAACATTTCCAAAATATCTACCATAAGTTACAGAGGTGAAGACTTTGATGCACAAAATGTTTATGGAGGTGTTGGAATACTGTGTGTGCTTAGTTTTTATATGTAGCCATCACTACTATCTACTGTATGTACATTAGGTATATGTTATGCATGAGACTATATGAGACCAAATGGCTTTAAAGCCACTACAGTACAGCATGCGTGAAATATATTTTTTATTATCAATATTTAGTTAGATTGTTTCCCGATTACTTGTTGCTTAAATTTGCATTACTTTAGGTATATATTATGCTATACTTCTGTTTTTATTTTCAGCATCAAAAAATTTCCCTTTAGTTGTAAAATTCCATATTAATATTCCAAGGGGATTTAAACATGCACAGTAGAGAAAAAGACTAAATGAAGTAATCGTTTCACTAACACCTAACGTACCACAAGTGACATCTATCGATCGTTTTTGGCCAGTGAACCACACTTCCCTGCCGTACTGCAGTGCTGTGTGGTACCACTAATGCAGTAATAAGGAGTGGCTGCATCTGTACAAGCTTTTGAGTTACAGCTCTGTAGAATGTAGGCCTCTGAGATTTTTTTGTATGCAGTGTAACTTTTATGATGTGTAAATGTATGCGTTGTTAAGTTGCGTTATTTTAAAATAAATCTGTTTGTTTGCCCTAGTTTGTCTCCAGTTTTATTGCACATCTGACCTGCACTAGAGAACATAATGAGCTCGCATGACAGAAGGAGCCTCAGGCTGGAATCAAACCCCAGAGCAAAAGAGCTGAGCGACATGGTTCCAGAGGGTCTTCATGAATATTAAATATTCAGTACAAGCAGCAAAGGAAATTAAGAAGATGTAGATGGAATTCAATACTGGACAAACACCTGGCAGATAACTTTTAATATTGCATAAGTCTGCATACAGGAAGCAGAATCACACCATACAGAAACATACTTCTATATACT